TTTTGTGGCAAAACTTGGAAGAAAAGTCGAAAAAGTCGAAAAAGTCATAATATCCGAGGTCTGTGTAAGTTTAAAATGAAAGTTGAACTATAATTTTTAATTCTTAAGTTGCACAGTTTTTTTAAGGATTATTTTTTAAATTATTAGAATTAAATATAAATTTCAGACTTAGTTTAAAATAAAACTTAAACTATAAATGTTAAATTGAGTTCAAAGTAAAACTTAAATAAAAGTTTAATAAAAATTAAAAAAAAAGTTTAAACAAATTTATGAAACAAATCTACTTTAACAAACCGTTCAACAAGAGAATATTTTGTTGAATATTAAACACACTTCGTTTGCATTTTCTTCTCTCCAAAGAACAAAAAAAAAAAAAAAATTCCGGTCAATTCTGAATAAAGTAGTGATCAGCAAAAGTGCATATTTTTTTCATCTCCACTTTTACGTACTTTCAAATATGGAGCTTCATAGAATCAAAGTAGTTTCTGATCAAGAACAATTGAGATCGTTGAGACTTTAATCGCAACCATTCGAATTTTAGAGCGATCTGTGTGGATGATAAAAAGATTTTTCAGCATTTTTTTTTTCTTTTTTTTTTGCCAAACCATCCTAACGAGATTTGCGAATGGGAAAAGTGTCAGGGCAAAGGTCAGGTCACGTACGACTAGACGATAACGTCGACGTTTCTTGGCTGTATTCAAAGTGCTTTTGAGAGGCGAAGAAGAGGGGAGGAAAGGTATGGAAAGTGTGCGAAGATCACATGCTACCTAGATTGAGACTAGGTAAATGTCCTCTCTATCGTTGGATTTTTTTTTCTCCTTCTTTTTTTCGCCCAGAAAACCTTTTCTTCTCACTTTAACTAAATCTGCGTGGAAAACGTTCCCTCTCCCTATAAATACATATATATGGATCGCCAACTGTCGAATATATACCATGTCACTTGAATTGCACCGGTCGAATAATAAATTCTTCCGAAAAGCTTCGATTCACATGTGTATGAATTATATTTCTCTCTATAAATTCGATTTTCAAATGACTTTATGAGTTCTTTTTTTCATTTGAAATTTATTTTATTAAATATGAAACTTTTATTTCAATATTTTTTATCTTCTAATGTCTATTTTATTAATACCTACACACATACATAAAGTTTCATTTATTTGACCTATTTTCCAAAAAAAGAATTTCCGATAATATAGAAGAAATGTAATTTAATATTATAAAGACTTTTTTTCTGAAAAATTAAATTCAAAACTTGAACGTATTTCCACCTTCACTAGAGAGAATTAAAGAAAATATAATATTGTTATGTATAAATAATTCTTTGAGTGAAATATTAATTTTTGAATTCCATTGAAATATGAATTTTATGAATTTTCTATAAATCTTAACATGAATTGTATAGGTAATGAATTATTTAATTAATTTTCAAAATATAATTTCATCCCTTTTAAAACGGAATAAATTAAAAATGAAATCTATATTGAAATAATATGGATTATTTTTAAAATTAATTTTGTATTTTCTTATTTAAATATTCTTTAAAAAAGTTTTTGTTTCGAAAAAAATAAGATTTCTTTTTTTCAAGAGGGGAGAAATTTTTATTTGTCAATTAATTTTTGAATCGTCGATATGAATATTAAATGGGAATATTCTTTTCATGAATTTTCGTTTGGTGTATAGGGTGCGCGCACGAATTCACGAATTTACAAATTATTATTAATAACCAAGTGCGCTTGTAAATAGGAAAATCAGTGTGACGCTTATTGTATAACAATAAATGTTCCGAGCACGCGAGCTTTTGTATAAAAATTATTAGCGACGATTTATGTCGCATTCGTGAGAATATTCAACGTTCACAACTGGCTCTATATACAAAATGTAAATTGTGTATAAGCATTATATTGAGATAAAGGATTTGTTCTATTCATTAAAAAAAATAATAAATAATAATAAATAATACTAATTATGATAATTTGCTAGAATTTTTGGAAAATATTTCTTAAAATATCCAATAGAGGGGGAAAACTTACGGCAAAATTACAGTAAACTTTGCTTGCAATTTTTTATCGAAACGAAGAGAATAGAACCCATTGTTTTACTCTCTAAATTTGAATCAGTTAAAAATCATAAATAACTGACAATCAGTGACTGGATTTTTTAGGGTTGCTACAAAAATTAAATTTTTTTTCCTGACTTTTGCCTGATTTCAAGACAAAATTATAACTTTTTCCCTGACCCTAAAGAATATTCTGATTCACTCTAAAAAGATTAGATACTCAAAAAAATGTTTTCTTACATTTATTTAACGAATTTTTTTAATTGTAAAATTATTTGAAAATATCAATAGTTTTATTTCAAATAAATATTTAATCATTATTATTTTTTCATAGGAATTAAGGTTTTCAAAAAATTCAAATTCAAACCTTCTTGAAATTCAACAACTTATAAGAATAGTATTAAGAAAACGAAGAAAATAACTTCTTCAAAATTATTTTCATCATTTTAATTCAATTATTTTCTAGAATTTATAACTAAAATTCTTTAAATCAATTATATTTTTAATAATTTTTGGAAAAGTTTATTCAGAATTTCCAAATCCATTTGTTTACAATTAAATTGTAAATTAAAATTTTTTTTTACAATTGAAATTTCGATTATTCGGAAATTCTTATATTAAAAATACACTAAATAATAAAAACTACAAATAATTTTTAAAAAATTGAATTAAACTTTTTCAAAAGAATTAATTCTGAATTGTTAGTTAAAAGTATGGAAAATTCAAATTTTCAAGGATTTTAATTTTGAAACCTTTTCAAAATTCAATTATTTTTAAAAAACCGGGCTATGCTTTAAATATTCAGTCATTATTTAAAATTTTTACTCAAATTCATTTTTAAATAAATTTTTATTAAAAAATTCTACGACAAATTCAATTATTTATATAACAAAAATAATTAATATATTGAATAATTGAATGTTTCTCGAAATTAAATTAGAATTTTATCAACAAATTTTAATAAAATTTTTATGAATTAAAAAAAAATTTTTTTTAATTTTTTATGGAATTAAATTAAAATTGTATTAAAAATAATTGAAATTCTGCGTCGAGTTTTATTATTTATGAAAATAATTGAATTCCTAAAATAAAAATAAATAAATAAATTATAAAAAAGAATTTTATTTACGAAAATAATGAAATTATTGCGAAGAATATTATAAACAATATTTAAATAAATGAATTCCTGTGAAATTTTTATTATTTACGAAAATAATTAAATTATTGCGAATAAATTTATTAAAAAATTGTAAAAAATTGAATTTCTGTGAAATTTTTATATTATTTCATGAAAATAATAATTAAAGGTTTGCGTAGAATTTTAATAAATTTTTTTTAAGTAATTGAATTCTTTTGAAAAATTTTATTAAAATATAGTAGATATCGAAAATCACTGAAAATTATTTACATTTTTCAAAGGAATTCGATTAAAATTGAAATCCTGCAATGAGTTTTATTATTTATGAAAATAATTGAATTCCTAAAAAGAATTTTATTATTTACGAAAATAATAATTGAATCTCTGTAAAAAATTGTATAGTTTATGAAAATAATGAAATTATTACGAAGAAATTTATAACAAATTTGTAAATAATTGAATTTTTGGGAATTTCTACTATTTATGAAAATAATTAAATGTTTTCGTACAATTTTATCAAAAATTTGTTTGAAATAATTGAATTCTTTAGGAAACTTTTATTAAAATAGTAGATATTGAAAATCATTGAATTGAGGAAAATTTTGGAAAATAATTGAATTCCGAAGAAGAATTTTATTATTTATAAAAATAATCGAGATTTTGGCCAGAATTAAAAAAATTTTTTAAACACAATTAAATTTCTATGAAGAATTTTATTACTTTTGAAAATAATCGAATTTTTGCAATCATTTATAACTTTTACAAAATTCAATTTTTTTTTAGTGTTTTTAACTAAAATTCTTCTGGAAATCCATAATTTTTAATAATTAATTAAATATGTAAAAAATTTAACTAATTTTTGATATCAATTCGTTGCAATTAAATACTATTAATTTAAAATTGTTACATTGAAATCATTTACTTTTAACTGGATTCAAATTTAGAGAGTACGTCCTTTTTATGGAAATTTTCAAAGCTTTTAGTGATATTTAAGAATATCACAGAATGTTGACTACAAGCTTGCGGATAATTTTCGTGCCATTTGGATAGGAGTAAATTTATTGGGTGAATTACAATATTGTAATTGTAAATTCGTCATGACAATTACTCGAGAGCTAATCGTCCACATATCTCATATCGATGCTTTTAATAGTCTAATGAATATTACAATTAAATTGTCATACTAAAGAGAAGATGATTAGTAAATTGAATTTCGTACAATTATAATTATATCGAAGTCAACTGTCAAATTGAAACACGGTTCAATGATGATTTTATAGCTTAACTGCAATTTATAAATATCGTATCTTTATATTTTTCTTGTGTTAAGTACGGAAATATCCCCCCCCCCCACTTTGTAAAAGTAGATCATCGTTATATTCTCTATAGACGTTATGAATTCTTTTTTTGTTTCTTGTCTAGGCTGCAAGTTCGTGGAGAATATAATCAAATTCTCTCTCTACTACATTATTCAATAGTCTCTCTTTCTTTTTCTCTCTCTCTCTCTCTCTCTTTCTTTTTTTCTTTCTTTCTCTCTTTCTTTTCTTCTTTCTTTCTTTTTTTCTTTCTTACTATCTCTTTCGCTTTCTTGCTATCTTTTTCTCTCTCGCTTTCTTGATATCAAAAAAGATATAAAAAAAGATATCAAGAAAGACAGTGAGAAAGAGAGAGAGAGAGAAAAGAGAAAAAAAGAGAAAGAGAGAAAAAAAGAGAGAGACTCACTATAGTTTTACTTGTCGATGAAATTGTATAGAAAGTGTATCGAAGAAAATGTACAACCAATTGCAATAGCGAAGCACTTACCTCAATGCTACGACGATTCCTCCAGCGCACCCACTTGTTGAAGCTGGGTCGCCAATATTCGATGAAGAATTCTTCCGCGTATTCGACGCCTTTTCCATTGCCGAATCTTCCCTGCGTTCGACTTGACGTTATTATTCTGGGACTGTGAAGATTTATTTCCAAATAATCCTTCCCCTCGCTCGTCACCATTGTTTTTGGACACCATGCACCACCGCCTCGGTCTTGTCTTAATCTGCAAAAAGAAAAAAATTTTCCTTCCTCAACAATTTCGATAAATAAAAAATTAAACATTTTATTATTAATTACAACTTTTATTAAAAGTCAAAAACGCTTCACGTAGAATGGGGCTTATTTTTTATTCTATTTACGATAAAAAAAAATCCTTTTTGAGAAAAATGCTTTCTTAAATGGTACTCCATTTAAGAAAGCATTTTTCTCAAAAAGGATTTTTTTTTATATAGTAAATAGATTTTTTCGAAAATAGTTTTCTTTTTTTTGTGGAAATATTTTCGTTTCAAGAATCCTATTATCGAGCGCAATGTGGTATTGCAAACAATGCACATATATATACATGTGTACATTCAAGAGAGGATTTCACCGAAAGTGTTTGTGGTTAATTAGTCAGTAGTCGTTAACAATACCTGACCACCTTAATTACTTGAACATAATAAATTTGTTCCATGTGGAATTATCTTTCTGTCTTGCATAATATTTAAAATTACCTCAAGGGCCTCATTAATAATGTTTGTCAAAAGGCTTTGGGAAATATTTTCTCTCCTCGCAAATATTATATTATAACAATCTCGAGCATCAATAATAATTATCTCCTATTATTAGAATTATTAAAAGCAAAGTAAAGCTCAAATTTCACATTGTAGTTCCAAATAATAATTAATAATAACAATAATAATAATAATAAAAATAATAATATTAATAATAATATTAATAATAATAATAATAATAATAATAATAAAAATATTATTATTAATAACAATATGTTATGGGCAGAAAATGTTATATTGTGTTTATAATTATACCAAATATGGAATTCAGAGTAACTAAATTAATATAATTGTCAGAGTAATTTTGTTACAGTGAAAAAAAATTTATATGATTCAATTAATTGATTACTCCACTATTATCAATTAATTATTATTTAATTGAATCGAATAATATTTATTGGAGTCAATTAAATGGTATTTCCTTCAAATACTGAAATTATTGCTTCAAATACAATTTAATTGACTCGAATAAATATTATTTGATTCAAGTAAATATTTAATTGAAAATAGTCAATTAATCGGTTATTTGAATCAAGAGGGTTGCTACAAAAATTTTAATTTTTTTCCCCAACTTTTTCCTGATTTCTAGACAAAATTTTTTCTTTTTCCCTGATCCTAAAGAATATTCTGATACATTCTAAAAATTTATTAGATACTAAAAAAAATGTTCTATTACATTTATTTAAATAAAAATGTAATTAAGTATTATTATTTTTTCCGAAGAATTAAGATTTCAAAAAATTATTTATATTATAAAAGAATATTGTTACTAAAACTTCTTCAAAATTATTTCCATCAATTTAATTAAATTATTATTTTTTTAGAAATTTTAACTACAATTTTTCTTTAAATCAATTATTTTTAATAATTTTTGAAAAAGTTTTTTAATAATTTTCAAATCCATTTGTTTACAATTCAATTTTACACGGAATTTCGTTTATACGGAACTTCTTCAATTAATTATTAGGTATAATATAAAATAAAGACATAAAATAATTTTTAAAAAAATTCAGTTAAACTTTTTCAAAAAAATTAATTCTGCAGAATTGTTAGTTAAAAGTATGGAAAATTCAGATTTTCAAAGAATTTAAATTGAAACCTTATTCAAATTTTAATTATTTCTAAAAATTTACTCTGTAACGCTTTTAATGTTCAATGATTATCGAAAATTTAAACTGAAATTCATTTTTTAATCAATATTTATTAGAAAGTTCTACGAAAATTCAATATATATTTATTTATTTTACAATCAATTAAATACAAAAATAAATAATTTATTGAATAATTTATTTATTTATTCAAGAAGTTGACAGGTAAAACCCTTTCGTACAAAGTACTAAAAGAACTAAAGACTGTACTTAAATTAATAATAATTGAATGTTTCTCAAAATTGAATTCTCATAAAGAATTCTATCACGATACATTTTTAAATCATGAAATTCATTCGACGAATTTTAATAGAATTTTTAAAAATAATTACATTTGTCGAGGAATTCGATTAAAATGGAAATTCTGCAATGAGTTTTATTATTTATGAAAATAATTGAATTCCTAAAAAGAATTTTATTATTTACAAAAATAATTGAATCTCTGTAAAAAGAATTGTATATAGTTTATGGAAATAATGGAATTATTACGAAGAAATTTATAACAAATTTGTGAATAATTGAATTTTCCCTATTTATGAAAATAATAATTAAAGGTTTGCGTAGAATTTTAATAAATGTTTTTTCAAGTAATTGAATTCTTTTGAAAAATTTTATTAAAATAGTGGATATTGAAAATCATTGAATTGAAGAAAATTTTTGAAAATAATTGCAATTTGGTCAAGAATTTTATTAAATTTTTTGAAAATAATTGAATTTCGGAGAAGAATTTTATTATTTACGAAAATAAATTGAATCTCTGTAAAAAATTGTATAGTTTATGAAAATAAATGAATTATTACGAAGAAATTTATAACCAATTTGTGAATAATTGAATTTTTGTGAACTTTTACTATTTATGAAATTAATGAAATGTTTACGTGGAATTTTATCAAAATTTGTTTTAAATAATTGAATTGTTTGTAAAAATTTTATTAAAATATTAGATATTGAAAATCATTGAATTGAGGAAAATTTTTGAAAATAATTGCAATTTGGCCAAGAATTTTATTAAATTTTTCGAAAATAATTGAATTTCGGAGAAGAATTTTATTATTTATAAAAATAATTAAAATGTTGATGAGAATTTTTAAAAATTTTTGAACATAATTGATTTTTTGCCATCATTTATAACTTCTCCAAAATAAATTATTTTAGTGTTTTTAATTAAAATTAAAAAATTAAAAATTAATTAAAATTTAATAAGAATTTATTGTCAGAAATAGAAAGAATTGAAGGTTTTTTGGTAATTTCATAGTTCATGAGTCGAAAAAACACCAAAATTCAGAATTTTCTTATGAATCCTTAAAATTTAATTTCTTCCAGTACTTTTAATAAAAATTCCTAATTTTTCCGTGACCAATTCTACTTTCCCTGACTTTTCCCTGAATTCCCTGACTTGCGACAACCCAGATCAAATAAATTTTTTTTCAGTGTAAAATAAAATCTTATTTACCCATAATGTGATCTTGGTTTGGGTAAATGTATCAAGGATCCATGAGACGTAGAACCATAACAATTGTGCCATCTCATCAGTTCGAAAGCAACATTAGCATTGCTAATGACCACGATCGTTACCATCACGTGCTACACACTGGACTACCACCTCGACAATTCGAAACCAAGATCGTTCGTTATTTTGCAATAGGCACACAACTGGTTTCTATACATGAACATTAGCGTTAACATTATATGCGGTCAACAACAGCACATGTCACATAAAAATTAAAAAAAGAAATCCAATTCCCTCCATTTCTTTTTTAAATTTTAATATTTTATTTTAAAACACACAAAATTTAATTCTTTTTCACAAATTTCCATTTGTAATACATCATTTATGAACTTTCTTTTTACACTCTCTTCATCTCTTTTTTTTCCCACCATTTCACTCGCGCAGTCTCTTTTTCTCATTTTCTCCGAGTGTAATTCTTTTGTTTTTATTCATTCTTTTGAGCTTTCATTTTCGTTCAACTCGTCTCTCTGACAAGCAACACCCGGAGAAAAAAGAGAGTGAGAGAGAGAGAAAGAAAGAGAGAAAGGGTATACTTAGAGAGGAGGGACAAAACCTCGTTGTCTTTCCTGTTCAAGCAATTTGGCGCACTAGTCGAGACCGAGTTCAGTTATCCTTTCACTTGCTTCCTCCAATCGACCTTTAGCCTTCTGTGGAATTGAAAACTTCTCAACGTCTATCGCCTTTTTCCCCAACCCCCCAACCCCACTGCATCTAACTTCAACGGTGATTGCATTCTCAACTGCAACTTTAAAGAGAGCCGAATTTATTCTTTAAAAATTAAGGTGCATCAAGAAGATTCTCAATTTGTGAGTGAAGGTTCATTATCTTCTAAAAGTTATGTTTGAAACAAATGTACCTAAATGCTCAATTTTGTAAATATAGTTCCTCTTTTTCTATTGAATAGAATTTCTGTTTCAGGGTGGTCACAAGTTTCAGTTTATTAATTTCCCTGACAATTTTTTACTGACATTAAAATTACTTTCCCTGACAAAATTCTTTTTACAGGAAAATATGAATGTTTACGGAAAATAAGTAAAATTTATGAATTTTAATTATTTCTAAAAATTACAGTTATAACTCTTCCTGAATTCAATTATTTTCTCTAATTTCCAACTAAACTTCATCTCTAAATCAATTATTTTAAATAATTTTCCGAAAGTTCTTCGAGAATTAAATTATTTATATTTTCAATAAATATTGAAAATAATATTTTCAAAAAATAAAAATAATTAAATTTTTGAAGAAAATTAAATTTTTGAAGATATTTAATATTTTCCGAAATTTTAATAACTCTAAAAAAGTAAATTTTTAGTTTCTTTATTGGAAGATAATTAAATCTTAAAAAATTAACTAATTTTAAGAATTCAGTATTTTTTAAAAATATTTTAATGTAATTTTTCAAAAACAATTGAATTTTTTATAAGAGTTTCTGTAATATTTAAAAAAAACTAATTAATTTCTTGATGAATTTCAATTAAATATTTTGAACATGATTTTTTTCTCCAAAATGTTAAAAATAATCCTAAAATGTTAATATTCTTTGCATAAATTTGAATTCAGAAATATGTAATCGAAAGTACTGAAAATACTAAATTTAGAAAAACATATTTTAAACCAATTTTTCAAAGATAATTTTGAAAAATTTCCATAAAATTAAAATTTGGTAAAATCTTTTGAAAATAATTGAATTTTTGAAAAATTTAAATAAAAATGATCAAATTTTTTAAGAATTCTAATTATAAACAGGACGATTTCTAAAAGAATTTAAATAAGTTCAAAAAGTAAATTTTCA